ACACCTGAAGGAGCAAATGAGGAAGAGGTTGTCCCAGAAACAAGTGGAGAAGAACACTTGATAGCGACGTCTGAGTCATGAATGTTTTCAGGGGCGAACAAGCAGTTATTGCAAAGGATCGGTAGCAGTGGGAAGAATTCTTCTCCCGATGTGCTTAACAGCATGGGAGTAACTAAACCTAAGCAAGTATACTATCGCTAGTATTTCCCGGATTAATGGGATTAATGGACTAAAGATATACCAAATTTGTCTAGGAGGACGAAAGTACTGGCTTGTTTATCGGCTGGCCAGAGCAATTTATCGCATTGGACCAGATACGCATTCAAAACCCCACCACGATTTCAAATGGAGTTCGAGTGCGAGGCGTATCGCAGAAGCGGGACTGATTAAAGCTAAAACTCCTTAGGACCTTGAAATAAGGAAAATGGAAAATTAAGGACATATCCCGGTAAAATTCATTAAAGAGTAGTTCTCATATCTAAAAATCGGGTAAAAAAAATTGGAAAACACCCACCCACAGCAGCATATCCCTGAGTCGGAAGCGTCGAGATCATTGATGATTGAGAAGCAAGTAATGAAGGATAGAACAGCTGACCACATAGGAATATACAAAATTAATACATCTCTGTCATCTCTACCTCTGTAATATCCACCAAAGAAACTAACTCGAGAACCTGTTCTTGAATTGAACGCAGACTGTTCTATAGTTGTCGTGTAAAACGGCCTTGAACAATGGCGATGACGTTGGCAGAAAAGTGTTGGAGCCATCTTTGCGGCCACTTTTGAAGGCCAGGAAAGTTGGCAGCCTAATTATACGTCCAAATACATGGAGCATAAGTTGCGATTCGTACAGTAACCTTGTAAATGGAGCAGTTTTGAGAATGTTTTTCACTTTGAAGGTTCCACAAACCACATAAAAGCAAAAAGTTTCATTCGCGGAACGCTCATGAATTTTACAACGCCGAAGGGAAAAAGATAACGAAGAACGGGAAAACAAGGAGAAAATGAGTAAAGAAACATTGCCGGCCGAACTGATGACAGAAATACAAACTGAAAATTTCTTCACATGTTGACTTTCTAAGTACGGAGTAAGTTGGCGAAGGTAGCGAAGTAGCAAGTGCTGCACTATCACACGCGTGATGTAGGGGTCGAGTCCTGGATCGTTGCTCGCAAGATCCAGTCAAGCTTTCCATTGCTCCGGGACCGGTTAGTTGGTACCACACTCGTCTGACAGTACAAAGGACTGACTTGTACATCGACAGACCACCGCAATCCATTGTATAGGACTTATGCATTCAATGCGCCACTACGATTTAGAATGGAAATCGAATGCACGGGCCACCCCGAAAACTGGATTGCCTAACCGACACGATTAACTTCGAATTTGATATTCTAGTCTGATAAACCATGTTATCCTACTAGTTATTTAATTGCAGTTTTGTTTTACCTTTCTTCTAATCCTCCTGAAATGCATCCCGTGCGAAGCATACTGCTTACTACCTAGGTCCAGGGACCTTGCTCTATCTGACCTCTCTACGCTCAGTGAATTCTTGGGCTCTTCCTGCTGTAAATATGCTAATGCGTAGGTGCTTAACTAGCTTGTTCCGAGATTTTTTTCCATTTCCACTTTTATGGCCCCCGTCGGAGAAGCGTTCGTCAGTCTCACGGTTGTTTCCCCTTTGTGAGAGTTCCCAGAGTTTTTGCAAGTTTGCAAGATCTTTGCGAGAGATTTCCCCCAAAAGATGAGTGTGCAAGTTTTACTGGTTTTAGGTTATACCACTGTTCATGAAGATGTAAGAATACCTGGTTGATCGGCGAAAGACAATGCTGACCTAAATGGTATTAGTGAAAGTAGGCCAACTATATAAGTTTACTTATCGCAATCCCTTATCTACGATTATCCGATTAGGCTCGTCATTGTTCTAACCCCATGTTTCGGCTGATTCTACTCTTAGCCCTATATGGCTCTGTACTTTCGATAACTATGCAGACATCATTGTGCTGCTGTGGATGTACTGAACAGAATTGCCCTGCAGTTGGGCCATCATGTAAATCACCACGGGAGAAGTGCACCTCAGAGACGGATCTCCAATGTAGCGGTCAGTGATATAATTATAAGCTAATGGACAAAACCTGGTTGCTCATCTACTGACAATTGCTTTTCCATTTTAATCGGAATTTTGTTCCGAAACGACTGAATGTCTACCGAAGAATAGCTGAAGATCCACTACTATGAAAATAACCATGAACATACCACTTAGTTGAAGGCACAGTTCACAATATCCTTGAGGTACCCATTTTAAGCTGAAAAGAGGCAGTTTGATGTAGAGTAGTGCATCGGTGGCGAAGAAAGCGATAGAATTCGCTTACCTCTTGAAAAATAGGTCTTCCCAAAATTATTGGAAATAGAGGATTTACGCGATTACCATGGCAGAAATGGCATGGAAGGGGTGTTCGGACGAGATTTCAGTTGTTGCAGTTGCGCAAAGAGCAGACCACATCAAGCCAAAAATGTCCAGGATTGCCTTTCACTGTCCCTGTGGGTCATGACGAGTTGTTTGAATTTCCAACATGGAAGTCCTTTGGCATCGAGAGTCGTCCGCTTTGGGTGTGGCATTCACACGACACAATGTCTGGCCCCTTCTTGTGCCTTATCCATTCGTTTCTCGACCTGACATCGGCATATATGGTAGCAGGAGGGCCTCGATGTCATCCTTTAGAGCAATCTCAGAAACCATTCTTTTCCTGAACTGTACCTTAGAATATGGTGAATGCGATGGCCTGATCTTTCTCAAGCAGCTGGTACCCACAATGCCCTGGAATTTACTGCTTTCAGTGTACTTGCTTTCCCACTGGAGTTTGCCTATAGTTGATGGAAACGGAAGGGCAAAAAGCTTGTACACCTTCACTTGGACATCTCGGTCTGACTAATGAATAATTTAACCTTTTCATTGATGAAATGCATAGAGGGGAGTTCGTCGTTATAACTTTGATATGTAGGTCTCCTATACCATTTCCTTTTTATGCAATATGTAGATAAGCAAAGTAGCTACAAACGCGTTCCAAAAAATTCCGGGCCTGCCGTCTACTCCTGGTTCGAGCATCGTTAACACCAACCAGACCTTCTACTCCTCGGGTTGGTATCACATCAGTCTAGAAGGGTTTCAACACCAGACTGACTAGTAGTTCTAATAATTCCACCCACCAAAACAATCGCATCCAATCCCCACCAAGATTTTGAGCGGAATAGGGCCGTATGGATCACTATAGAAAATGTACTGACAACCGGCAAAAGAGTTATTGACACCAGACTTATCTGGGAGGATAAAAGCCTGACTTGTACAGCGGCTGGCCATCGGAAGTCATTGTATAGGCCACATACGCATTCAGTACGCCACTGCGATTCTGAATGGAAGTTGAACGGGGGGCGCACCCCTCAGGCGGACTTGATAAAGCCCCAAGATTTTATTCTTATTCCTTTATATACAAGGGAGTGTTTTACTTCAGTGACTTGATATCCGGGTATTTACTAGACCAGGGATGACCAGTATGACTCACACTCGTTTATGGAGTCTGTTGTCGAATACATTAAGAAATAAAGCCGTACGGTTT